AATCCCATGTTAGCAAGCTAGGTGTGAGCTTGTGTAAAGCTTGACTCACTTGAATTCTCCTTGTGTGAAAGATGGAGAGAAGTCTGCAGTTCTAATGATTCTTCTCACTACCTACAACTTCTACTGCTCCTCGCATTTGTTTGTTGTTCGTTTTCAGGGACTTTTTCAAGGTTCTTCTGTATCTTCAGTGTTTGAGTATCACAGATCTCAAATGTAGGGAGCAAGACTTGAAAATGCAAGCATGCTGCCAGCATAACTGTTCCAGTGTTTATAATCAACCAGCTCAGTAACTGAATCAAAAGCCTAATTGTATTAATGAATGTGTTCTCCAGTGTTCTAGTATACTGAGCTAACTTTGAAAACTTGCTTTATAGGATGTGTTCTTAATCTGCTTTTCACTTGTGAGTCCTGCTTCCTTTGAAAATGTCCGTGCTAAGGTAAGTGCAGCCTAGAGAGCACTCTTTCCTTGAGATTGATTTGGGTCTTGTTTGTTAGGTTTCAACCTGTATTCTTTCCCTTGATTCAGGGAAATGAGGCTCACATGCCCAGTGCTGGGACCAATCTTCTGTAAAAACAGATGGTCATTGTCAGTAGCATGATGGAACAGTGCAACTTTCCTTAATTGTGCAGGAAGACTTAGCAAATCTGTCTTAAGATGCAGCGTGGTGAGGGGAGGCCTATTCAGTGGAATTCAGAAGCCTGTTTTATTCCTGTTATGATTTTTCCATGGCCAAGGAGAAATTGTCCATACTCTTGTGTTGGACTTCTCCCATGGATGGGCTTTGTTTTCCTGATTGCAAAAAACAGAAGAGCAAACAAAGTTGCATTAGGGTTTTTCACCCTGGATACTTGATGCCTTCTGGCTAAGACAGGGAGTTGAATCTCTGTATCTGTAAATGCAGGAGGACATTTACAGTATAAAAAAGAAGTCTTGTGGGGGCTTGCTTTCTCTTTTATTGTATCGTAAAGGAGTTTGGGGAGGTTTTGGTAGGGAAAGTGTTTGAAAGCCTTACATGAAAGTTGTTGCACATCTGCTTCTCTTTAATTTTTTTCCAGTGGTATCCTGAGGTGCGGCACCATTGCCCCAACACCCCCATCATCTTAGTAGGTACCAAACTTGATCTCAGAGATGATAAAGACACTATTGAAAAACTGAAGGAGAAGAAATTGACTCCAATCACCTACCCACAGGGGCTTGCCATGGCAAAAGAGATTGGTATGATGATTCCCAAGTTAACCTACTAAAATTCATGCTACAGCTTCCTTTTAACAAAAAAAAAAAAATCCCCCCGCTTCTACTGTGGCAATCCACTAAAAGCAGTGTATTCTGTCACTGGCACACTGTAGAGAACTGTTTTGTAACTTCAACCTCTTTTGCTCTGCACAGGTGCAGTGAAATACCTAGAATGCTCAGCACTTACACAGCGAGGCCTCAAGACAGTGTTTGATGAAGCTATTCGAGCAGTTCTTTGCCCCCCTCCTGTAAAGAAGAGAAAGAGAAAATGCCTGCTGCTGTAAATGTCACCCTCCCTGCCCCCACTCCGAACCCCATGTGCTTTGCTCTGAACAATGGAGCATTCACATTCAATGCCAAGTTTTTCTGTTATAAATTTGTTCTTTCATGACATTTTTGAACCAATCAACAATTTCAGTTTCACTTGTTTTAAAGTATGAGAATTGCTTTTCATTCTACTAAAAGTGAAATCTTAAAAGACCTATGTAAAGCCTTATTTTTAAAGTCCTATTCTTGCTCAGATTAATCAATTGTTGCCAAACTATCTGTTGAACTAAGTTGCATTGTTGTGCTATGAACACTAAGCACTAAACTGTTTTAAAGACTTCTGTCTTTAAGAAGACTCTAATGTCTATTAGAAAATGCAAAAACGCACTCTCGTTTTTCACAGAGAAGTAACAGTACAGTATCCTTAGCAAAATGTTGCTAATGCATTCATTAAACACTTTCTCAACCCCGGGTTGTTGCATAGCATTGTGTATCAAACCTAAATGAGTACGAGAATTGATATTATGACTGACCACCTTGAGTCACAGTAAAAAATGCTTTGTCACTGGTAAGGGCTCAGTTGCAATTTAGTTCTTACTACTACAATTAAATATAAACATTCTTAATTGAAGTTTATCTAGTCCTTTTGATAGCATTGTATTGTGATGGATAGGTGAAGCACTGGTTGGAGATCAAATGAGGTTGCCAGGCAGTATTTGACACTGTACAGATCAATTTACACACTACATTGTCAGAGTAGTTGAAAAGTGAATAGACACTTGTCACAGAAAAACCAGTAAACTTCTATCGCAGATATGCAGTAGATGAAGAGAGGTTGGTGTTCATAGGTAAGTTCTGAATTTCTTTTCAAGTAGGGCATTCACTTGATATTTTTGAACTGGTCATTCCCACAACTCTTAAACTTAGAAAAATGCTTTTCTTGTAGAATCTCTACTGAGCAATATAACTTGTATTTTAAAGTCTTTGAGTGATAGAATTTTGCCTTTTTTTTGTAGATTAGTTGAAGCATATTCTTATTTTCCTTTTCTGATCCAGTAATTTTTGTGCTTTTAGAAGAGCTTTCTTTAGTCTTCTATATACTAGATGTAAAAATCAAGTGAGCAGCTTTCCAAGTTTTAGTAATTTTTTTATACTTTAGACTTCCTTAAACTATGAACCTTCTCAAGCATCACTGTTTGCCAGGTATCCCAGCACTGTAATGTTACTAATGCTGACAATTGTTCTTTACCTCACCTACATGTACATGTGCATCAATTTATTTAGTAATGGTAACTTGGGTCTATGCGGTTCTGTAAATTAGTGCTAGTGCTAACAATGTTCTGTACATTCTAAACACTGGCAAGAATCCACTGTTGAACTCCACCCTTTCAACCACTAGAGCAAAATTTAAAAATCAAGTTGCAAAATTGTGAAGTTTTTACATTGATCTTTTGCTAATGCAATTAGCAGTATGTTTTGCATGTATGACTTAATAAATTCTTGAATCATGTTATTGGTAATGTGTGAATTTCTGAGTAAGGGTTCTCAGACTGTGATTGTAGAAGTGTGAATGCTTATCATTCTTGGTAAACCATGACAGCAGTGGTTTGTTTGGGACTGGCTTTCTGCCAGGCACATGCATTTAAAAACAGGCTCTTTAAAATGAGTTAGTGTTTGAGATGGTTTGGTGGCAGGCATTGAGATTGGATCTCTGGTCTAAGAACTAAGTAACACGCTTTCCCCAGCCCCCAGCATTGCTCAGACACTGCACTCGTTTTGCTTGGCATTGGCTCTTGCTGGCTACTTTAAAGACTTGCAACCTAACTTGTATGCAATGCTTAGTCCCAAACCACTTATACTCCAGGAACAGGTTTTCAAACTCCTGTGGGAAAAGGTTTGAATTTCATTTTAAGTTGTACAGATGATTTCCCCTCCCCCCATGCCCTTTTACAACAGGGTGCTCCATTAGGGGGATATCTGGATTAGCTCAAGCAGGACTTGGAAGGTAATGGTTGTAAAAAGTAAAGCTGTTTCCTTTCCTTGAGGGAGCTTACCATTTTCCCCTCCCTAATTTTTTTTCAATCAACCTTAGTAGTACTTTGAACTAAAGATCACACATTAAGTGTCACAGATATGAAAAAAGCAGGGGGGAAGGGGAAAATGCTAGATCACACTCCATTTACCAAGTGTCAGGCTTGACCAAATGCTCAGTCTGCACTTACCTTCCTACTGAGGTCCTGTGTGTTAAGGAGGGCTGAAAATACTGCTAATGAACATGCTGAATCTTTGCTCTACTCACTGGGGGTCAAACAGGTGGTCAGGTTTGTTCATATGTCTGATTGTCCTAATTAAGGCCTGCCCCCTGCCGTTATCTTGGATACACCACAGGGATTTGAGATGCAACAGTGGGCTTGTACATTGGTAGGGTCTCAGAAGAAAAGACTGGCTTGTGGGAAACTCCTACTACCCTGGGAGAGGCAGGTTAGCTTAACTTCAATGTCTCCAAAGTAACCCCCCACCCCATGAAGACTGCCACTGTGAAACACCCAGAGACAATAACAGGATTTAGTTGACAAAGGAGAGATTCCTACCCCGGAGGTAAAAAGCACAAGTCTTACTTCTGCAGGAAGTCACGGCTTCTAGCAGTGCAACGTTTGCTACAGTAATGTTAGCCGATGGTCCTGTTGACTAATCATTCAAATCACTGAGGGAAATGCTTGCTGGATTGCATCTTTGTCCTACCCTGGAGCATGAGAAGATATTCACTATTAAACATTTTTTATTTTACAAGAACTTTATTTTGTTCTCAATTAAGTAGCACAGCAAAAGCAATACAGTAGGATCTGAAAGTGACTGCTCTGACTATAAAAACACTTTGTATAGAAAAATGCTTTGTAAGGGACCTTCTCTGAAGAGTAAACCATAAAAACCAAAAAGTTAGATTTGTTTTAAAATCTGACAGCTTGACAATAGAAGAAAGCAGTGTCTAGGGACCTACTTAAGTCATGGTTTCTGTGGAAACTTAAAAAAAAATAGTGGTTTCCACAATTTTGCATGAAATCACCAAAAGAATAAAAGCTTACCAGAATACAAAGAAAGCACAGCAATTCCTGCAAGATCCCAAAAGTCACCTCCACGTGCCGTGATAGGCTTGGAAAAATCCCTTTGTCTCACTGCAATTCAGGTAGGTCCCTAGCAATGTCAGCTTCCAGTTCTGACGCATAGAAAAGTTCCTGAAGGAGCCAGTTGCCCTAGAGCTTGTGAATGGAGGACAGGTATGCTGTCTAATCATACCCTTAAGAAATTAATTTGAAGTCTGTTTCTACATTCATAATGCAGGAGGTATAGGTGTAAAAAACAAACAAAAAAACCCAGAAAGCCTAGGAAATAGATACAAAAACATTGCACGTTAAATACAAGAAAAAAAAAATGCACTGTGGGCTGTTACTGAAACATCATTTCAGAGGAACAAACAAAAGTTTCTGCTGTTTCACTTCGCTGTTTTCATCTTCCCACACCCACTTCCTCCAGAAACCAGATGTTCTAGACAGTGCAGCTCTGCTTTATTTCATAACATCCAAGAATCTTGGTGACATAAAAAGATGGGCAGCAGACCTCATTGTGGCTCAGTCTCCTACCTATAAAATGACTAAGCTGGAAGCAGAGCTGAAGCTACAATACAGGTTGCAACATCTGGCTAAGGCAGGAACCATGCTGCCTCAGTCTCCCTGTTTGTTAGTCAAGATCTAGTGGTTTACACACAATTGGCTCAAGCTCCTTGTATTGTTCCATTTCCAAAGATGGTTGTTAAAATGCAGAGAGGGTTCAAGTTCTGAATTTAAGAGCCGCCACCACAGAGGCAAAATGCATTTTGCATTCTGAAGGAATCACTTCAACCTCTCGTTTCCATTTCAGGTATGGCATAAAGGATACTTGTGTCTGCTTAAGCACGAGAGGTCAAAAGCCTCCTGAATACTTCACCTGAGAGCAGCACTGCTGTTCTCATACTATGTTGGTATTAAAATCATCTTGTGTCTGACAGGAAATACAAGATGCTTTATCCTGGGACAAGCTGTTCAGAGCTTTGAGTACAACATCTGGCATGTGATCTGTTATCATCTTGGGACTTATTAAAATATTTCTGAAGGCAGTTTCTTTTGACCATCTTGCAGTGTATTTAACATCTGAAGAGCACCACCTAGAAAGAAATATTTTGTTAGCCAGGTGAAGCCAGGTGACTAATGGGCCCCCTCAAACTTTGTATGCGCAGTGCTGGAATATTTTAATAGAAGGAGAAAGAGGGATCCTCCAAACACTTGACTGCTCGATTCCGATCCACTGCTGATAACAGAAGTTCACCACAGGCTTCAGCAGGATCAGAATTAGGCTAACTTGGTGGTTCTGGAAATCTTCCTGCCAAGCTGCTCTTCAGCTGGCTCCTGCTTTGATTACACTTGATTAGGGACATGAGTACAATATGGTGCAGTGTCTCAAACACTTAACATGGTAGTTAACAACCAGAGTGATACTGCTACTAAGACTTTTTTCCCCTGGACATCCTGGTCTACAACAAAGGCTCTAGGTACTACACCTACATTTCTGGGCCAAGAGATTTACAATGCCCAGACTCAAGTTATTGCTGATTCAATACACACCACTGACAACACGAACCATTTACACTAATATCTTAAGATGAATTGAACACCGAGGGAAAAAGCCAAACAGCTCAAAAGCAAGGGCATGGGTAGCTTTTGGCATTTCCTCTCTTCTGGTCATTGAGGCTGCTCTTGCCTGAATCATGTTCGCTGCATTTCAAGACGAAACTGGGAAGGATGAAAGCAGCTTCCTCCTTTACAACCCTTAAAAAAGGATTCCTTTTCCCAGCAGTTTCAGAACCCCATTTGCTCTGCAGTTTGCATGTCTTTTCCTTCCTGCTTCAGGTTGAGGGAGGAGGAGCTAAGGCAGCATGCTACTTGCAGGAATTATTAGAGAAAAAATATCCAAGACAAGAGCCAGAAGCAAAAAGGGATCTGAACTACAGGTACTGAGGCAAAAATGAAACTGCTCTGTAGAAATGCAGCTTCTCTCTTACCTCCTCCCAGCTGTGAGAAACCCATTTTTATAGAAACCAGTTTTGACACCATGTAGGTTCTCCATGGAAACTACTCTCTCTCTAAAGTAATTATGGTGACCACGTGTTTACATACGTTGACTATGTCAACCCTGTCAAATATTTAAGTAGCATGTACAAACATCCAACCCCTTCTGGTCATTATGATCACTGTACTTCACTTGTAGTTTTTCGTGGGAAGGGGTGGGGAAACTGGAGCATTGGGTGGAGCATAAATCAGTAAAAGGTAAGAGCAGTCAGAAAGAACTGGCTGGAATGGAAAGAGCATGAACAAGTGAAGGAAAAGATGGAGACAGGAGCCAAGGAAAGCACTTGAATGGTAAAGAGAAGCTTAAAACTTCATGCTTTACTGAAGTGGACCTTTGGTTTATCTACCTTCTTGTGCTGGATTCTTCTACAATATGGATGATTTTCCCAGGAAGATACAGCTGAGGATACTGAGGTGAATTTAAATGAGATTCATCCCCCAAGGTACTGTAAGAAGGTGAATGATGAACCATCAAACTCTCCTCTGCCAGAAGAGGTTGGGTCAGGGTGTCTTGACTTCTACCATCCAGCTCAGTCGGGAAGTTATCTGGATTTCCCCCAAAGACTTCATACCAACACCCACGCAGCAAGATCTGGTACTGAGTTCAGAAAGAAAGCAACAGAATATAAAAGTTAATGACTATTCATTTTCCCCACACATTGCCCTAGTCACTTTTTAGTTAGCAAGATCCCTACATCCAAGTTTCCTCACAGTAACTGCACCCATTTCTTTGGTACACAGCCTCATCCACTTAAATCACTCAGGGTCAAATAAAGGAGAAACAGCTCTGAACAGGCCATTTGATTTTGGTGGGTCTTCTTGTCAAACTTTAAGCTTCCTCCCACATCCATGACTTCTAGCTGCCCTCTGCTGCTTCTCCATTTACTTCTGGCCTTCTCAGGCAGCAGTATTTAGTCTTGATCCTGCCCCTCTCTGCACCCTCAAAGGAGTCTTTTCCCATACCACACACCCCATCTCATGTGCAGTCCTCTACCTCTGCAACTTCTGCTGTCCTGCGGATGGAACCATAGAATCAGAGAGAAGCAGGGCTGGAAGGGACCCCCAGAACTCATCCAGTCCAACCCCCACTGCTCCTTCTATGTGATGGTGCAGCCAGACAGAAGCCTGCCCTGCTGGTAGGAGTGGCACCCATCTCTACAAGACTCGCACTCTCCTTTGTTTCCAGGAGCAGGACCAAGCTTCATCTACTGAGCCTTGCTGGAGTGTTGGGTCTACCAGTCACTCTTCAGTCAACTGGAGGGACTGCAGCCTCCAAATGCTCTAGTTAGAGCAGAGCAACACCCAGGGAAAGCAGAGTAAACATCCGCTGCTGGGCTTCCCACAGTCTGTGCACCTGGGGAACATTTCTAGTCCATGCACAATCCTATTCCCTACAAATAAACAAACTGTTGGTCCTAAACTACTCAACAATTTCCCCAACTTCTTCTAGGCATAGTGTATACGGTACCTTAGGCCTGTTACAACTGGCCACTATTTTCACGATTCTTCGTTTCAGGTCTTCCATGTTGGGCATACTTAACCTGTTTACAATACAGAACAAAGAGCTTCTTAGCATACTCTGTTGATCAATATTGCCCAATGAAAGCAGAGTTGTCCACCTCCTGCTAGGAAACTCACCTTGCGACGAGGTCTTTTCCAACAACAACAGATATGATGAAGTGCTTAGTGTAGTCTGCAAGTGATTTGCTAAAAGACACAACACACAAGAACAAGCCCCATGCATACATTTTAGTTTCACGCCGATCTGTTATTTTTATATTAAACAAGTGCTGCAATAGAATAACTCAAAAGAGAGTGTTAACAACCAGTTATTTTACTATACTTTTAAGGTTAAGTCTAGAAAGGACAGGAACACAGACAGTTAATACTGAAGCTGCTGCATGCACCACATCTAGATGTTTAACGAGGCCCAGAAACAACAGACAGGTCCACGCTGTGTTTTGGAAGCAATCATTTGCAGCCAGAGCTCAAAGTATTTGTTAATGAAATAAAAGTCACTGTATAATTATTTTTGGCCATTTAGGAACCAGGCTTAGCTTAAGCAATGCCAACTTTGCTGTTCAAAGCCTTTATAAACAGGCTAGGGACAAGTCCCAGTCACGCACAAAGCCAAACACCAGTCAGAGCAGATGAACTGTTCAACTGTTTTGTTTTTATACAGCGCTTAAAGTGATGGCTTTTAAGCCATAATTAATCTCCACTATAACTACTGCCACACCAGGATTTCTCTACCTTGTACTAAAGCCAAGCACAGCAGTACTGCATTTACCTTAACAGTCCTCCTGGAGGAGAGAAGGCATAACACCTGAGTGTTGGAAAGGAGTTCTTGAGCAGGATGGCCAAAATGGAGGCTGTTCCAGCACCTAAACTGTGCCCAACTATCACCAATTTATACTCCTAGAGACAGAAACAACAGAGTTCCAAAGCATGGTTAAAAAGCAACCTCTTCACATGACAAACTCTCTCACTTCAGTTTCCATAGAAATATTTTAGCAGAAATCTTGTTAGGAAAGCTTAAAACTCCTACGAAAGGTACAACTTACAGGGGCAACGGTGAGAGCCTGGTTTAGAATTCCATCATTTATTAGCTTTCGGTAAACGTAATTTGCAGCTTGTGTTATCCCCTAGAAGACAGCATTAAGTTAGAGACAAGAGTTACCCCCGGCTGAAACACAATACATGGATACCTATAAAACACAATCTGAGGATGGTACACTACCCAATATTTTCTGTAAATATTCAGCAGTCTAATTATCTCTGCTCAACAGAGCTCTACTGACATATATATGCACCACCCCAGCAAGGGACCTTGCTACTCTACTGCACATTTTACTTAAAAATGCCCGGAATACCTAAAAAAAAGAGAAAGAAAGAAAAAAAGAAGGGGGTAGCCAACCAGTGCATGGGTGCCACAAGTGGCGCAGGGCAGAAAGCAAATCAGCAGAGTAGGTAGGGGAAAGGGATGGGAGTGGCACCTAGGGAGGGTGCAGAGGTAATTTGTGGGATGCCGCCTAAAAAAACTGGCCACACTGATCTAAAGGGACAAATTCAGGTTCTACTCTGCAATGCTGGAGGCAGAATTTATTACTGCTGCTAGGCCACCCAGACAGAATGTCTAGTTCTGATTCAGAGAGAGCCGTTTCCCTTAACTGAAGGAATACAATTGGTACTTTGATTTTTCCCTTCAATATATTACTTTGCAGAGGTAAAGAGTAAACACACACCTTATGTACAAAGCCATTTTCCAGAATGTCTTCTAGTGTCAGGTCTTCACAGTCTGCTGATAGATCAGTGATGATATCCTGCAGGTAAAAAGTGAGACCTTTAGCCATTACATTAAAGGCATTTACATGAAACCACAACCCATGACACACTGTTACAGCAAGAACATGATGTGGTGATATCATTAAATAAATTTCAAGCCTACAAGTAACTGCACATTTAAAAACTCGTCAGAAAGATACCAAATAGTACACGACTCAGATTCATTACTGTGTGGAAAAAAATGAAACGTAAGCTATATATTCACACATCTCCACCACATCAAAAGAGAATCTCAGCCCATGTTCCAACTACTCCCTTAAAGTGGTGCCTAAGCTTCTGATGTATCCAAGAACAGCCACTCATCACTTAAAATCTAGAAGTCTATTTCTCTCTCTTGCTGACTCAAACGTTTGTTACTGTAGCACTATTTCCACTAGCCACTACAAAGAGATGCACTGTCTCCTCTAAACCACTGGGGTTTTCCCCATCTCCAGACAGACAGTGCTACACAACAGAGACCATACCTCAAAAGACAGGGTTCCTCTTACTGCAACCACAACAGCCTCTTTTTTGTGATCCAAAGCGACAAAAAATGGAATCTCAAAAATCTGAAGAGGAAAAAAAAGTGCTCAACTAAAGAGACCATGTTTCCACCGCAAGTCAACATTTATTTTTATTTCCTAGAGAGAAATAAAGACACTGTGAACTTCTGTACAGTTGTATAAACTTGTCTTTGTAAACTCAATCTCTTATCTATTGCGAGTTCTAAAAAGGAATTGTATTTTTCTCCTACAAGGTTACAGGAATGTTTTGCTTTATGTTGCAACACATTGTTTCAGTAAGTCTCTTCCTTCTGTAATGTTAACTTTGGTGTCACTGTTACCTAAACAAGAACCCTTGGCCCAGGGTTGAGATTGCTTTGTTTGAACATTCCGGTTTGGCAAGGTCTTCCTTTTAGAACATGACGGTTGGGAAAAGCAAAGCTTTTGGTTTCTTACCGAATTGAAAAAGTTGCAGGGAATTGTTTTGGTTTTGTTTGTTTTTTTGGCTTTTAGATCGCTTCCCAGATTATTACCTTGTTATGAAAGCTAATATGAATAAAATCTCTGTACTGCAGCCCTGTTATTCTTAGGATGGATCCAAAGTGAAAGTTAAGACAATCACCACCAACTATATCAGGATCTGTTGCTCTGTTTCTGCAACTAAGAAAACAAAAAGAAATTAAAGTGAACTTGCAAGTTCAAGCTAGTCACATTTCCCTTCAGGAACAGATTTCAATTACATTCATGGAGGAGTATGCGTCTATTCATAGTTCATAGTCTAGCTTCGAAGCTACTGCTTTAAGGCTTTAAGAAAAATACACAAAAGTAATTACTGAAAATTCTGATATAATCTTGAGAAACTCATGAAAAGAATGGAAAATCTAATACACAAAAACAGTTCTCCAGAACAAATTCATTTTAACCACAGCTACACACTCAGCTACGAGTTTATCCAGGTATTTGATTTCTCAAGTTTTTGTTACTGCCACACCTCAGAAGATGACATGTCATGCCAATAATCAAGGCTGGATGGCAGCTTTAGTCACTCTTAGCTTTTAGTCACATAAAAGGTGACACAAGAGATCATATATGTATATGGGATTATGCTTGAAGCTACAGATTTAAGATATTGCGCCAACTTACCAGTCACGGTTAAGTCTACAGAGAGCAGTAAATGGGTTAGTGAATATATAGTATGGCCATCCATAAGCAGCTGCAGCAAACTGCATGTAGTGAGCAGCATTTTCTAATTCAACATCCAAATTATCAGCCTGAGGAGGGGAAAAAGCCCAGATTAAAGGCTTCAGGTACACACATTGCAGCCTGAATCTTTTCAACAGCACTAGCAGTCCAATTAAATTTAACTTCTTACATTTTCAGTACAAAACTTACATAGAAGGAAGCCCTAAATATTAGAGGGGGATAGGCCACCCTTAAAGAAGCTTAGCCTTATTTTACAGGCAGCATTACATTTCTTTCCCACAAATAATAAACCAAGAGTTTGGGAAAATGCCAGTTATTTAAAATAATCACTGTTTCATTATTTCACTGTCCGCTATTTGTATTGAAAATGGAATGCTTGTTTCAACTAAGTTGTTTGGGACATGGGTCTGATAGGAGGAAAAGCTTTGGATTTTTCTAACAGATTAATCTAGCAAGAGTTGTTCTTTCGATCCGACTCTCTGTTAGCTGAATCCAGGAGCAAGTCCGGGGGGGGGGGGGGGGGGAGAGAAAGGTTGTTGTGGTCCAGTTGCACCCTCCCTGGTCCACCAAAAGGCTGCTGCCAAAGACAGCATTTCTATTTAGGCACCCGTGAGGGAATCAACTGACTTCACGACTCATAATCTACCTGATTCCTTCTAAACTCTTCATTCCATAGGTGTTAACATCCCTCTCTCCTTTTTAATAGTCTTCACGGTCCACTAAATCAAGCTATTCTTTCTTCTGCAATTCTTCTATCTGTTAGCTGCTCCTGGTAATGTAGCTCTTATTTCACAGCCCTGCAGACTGTTTCTATCTCTAGCTAAAAACATTAAATCAGGTGTCGAAATAACTGTCAATGAAGCACTGGATACACTGTCAAGACGGTCAAAAAGGCTAGTTTTGTTTTATGAATCTGAAAGAGAGATGTACATTTAATTCTAATGACAACAGGACTAATTAAACAACATATTTTGATTATTTGCCTAGTTGCCTGCGGGGTTTTTTTTATTCATAATATACGAAACAGAAAACTAATGCACATTCCGATAGATACAGTTGTTTTTGCTTCAATCTTAAACTGAATAATTCAGCCTTGGGCCCTTAGGTTATTAGTAAAGCTTCTAGTTTCTTTTTAAAGGAAGAAAAATGTGTGCTCTGTTATGTGTGATGATACACTGCACCAAATGTACCCCACTTCTCAAATGCCTAGATCTGCCCATGGCTAGATCCAAATTCTCTGGCAAACAGTCTGCACTTGTATCATCTCAACTAGATGATTCTGGTTTCTATGAAAAAGGAGGAGCAGTTGTAAGTTAAAACTGGCAGAAGTATAATGGGATTCACAAGATGTTTCCCCCACTTCAAGCAACTTAAAAAAAAAAAAAAAAATCACTGATCATCAATTAGCACTAAAGCAAATGCTGTTTCTGCTTTTCCTCCTACCTTGGGCATTGTAACTTTGTTTCCTTCTCTATTAAAATGACAAGTCTAATGAGACCACACTTTCAGCTCAACACTAAGTATGGAAGCACTATCTTTTTATTAGTTTTCATGATGATCATATCCTGACTTTTTTCTGTATGTGCCATTTTGAAGTTTCCCAGAATTGGAGCATTACTGGTACAGATTATCCATCTGTCAATACATCTATCCAATTTATATGCTACCCTTCCCAACAGTCTCACTGCAGGTTCCAATAAAAGGAAGAGATAACTCAAGAGCACTGCTTCCTTTTTCCCCCTCCCAGTCTGCTGCCAGTAATCCCACATCTAATCAGTCACATCTAGTCACTAACTTGGTTTGCCCCCCAAACAAAACCTACATTTCAGTTTGGTTTGATGCAATAGGATCTCTTAAACAGGCTGCATCTCCAGGCTGGTTTTTCTAGCATATCTTACCACAGGAGATGTTGGGGAATGACAGAGAATTTCTTCAGGGTCTTTTGGACAATTCTCTACTATATCTTGCTCTTGATGGAGCAGACTCAAACCTGCTGCTATGTCACTTGGCACCAAATCAGTGTCCTGCAGAAGAAAAATGAAAGAATTTATTTAAAATAGTGCAGGAAATTCACTGACTTTAAAAAGAAACCACCTCCTGTTAAAAGGAGCAGTGTGCTGGTAAAGGGTACATGTCCCCCTTCAAAGTACCCGATTTTACGTGTTTAAAAACTTCCCACAAATAAAACTCAGGTATAAATCCCCAGATGTCAATGTCTGAAATAATCATTACAAGACTCCTTTTCAAAAGGCCTGTTCAGCCATGACAACAAAACATGACCTGAAAATGAATTGATTATTGCTGCATGCAACCAAGGGGTGTGGAGGAAGAAACGTTCTTAGTCCCTCCGAAGCTTTTACACACTTTCCAAGGAGAGGTTATGCTGTTACGTACAATACTCCTATTCCAAGCACACACACCTGTTTGCAGTCCTGTAGCAATACCGGAAATACATCTTCCAACCCTCTGAGCCTGACCTTACAAAGTGCCGAGCACTACAGGTCCAAGTGAAGCTGATGGGTGGGGATACTCATCACCTGGAAGGACAGGGTCCCAGGGAGCCTTTCCATCTTGTAAAGAAAGTGCAGAAGACAAGGAGACTATAAATCATCTTCATGGCACTAGGTTACTGGTTCAAGCTGGTAAAGGCATTGCCCACTTTAAGTCTCTTTAGAGGGAATGAGACTGTGATCTCAGTGTGGAATCTACTGACCTGTGCGTTTCATAGAATCATAGAAAGTGAGGGCTGGAAGGGACCTCAGGAGGTCATCTAGTCCAACCCCTTGCTCAAAGCAGGACCATCCCCAACTAGATCATCCCAGCCAGAGCTTTGTCTAGCTGGGTTTTAAACACCTCCAAGGTTGGAGCTTCCACCACCTCTGTGGGTAACCTGTCCCAGTGTTTTACTATCCTCCTAGTGAGAAAATTCTTCTTAATATCTAACCTAAACTTCCCTTGCTGCAACTTGACTGTTCCTCCTTGTCTTGTGATCTGCCACCATTAAGAACAGTTTAGCTCCATCCTCTTTTGAACCCCACTTCAGGTAATTGAAAGCTGCTATTAAATACCCCCGCAATCTTCTCTTTTCTAGAAGAAATAAGCCCAGTTCCCTCATAAGTCAAGTGCCCCAACCCCTTCACCATTTTTGTTGCCCTCTGCTGGACTCTCTCCAATTTGTCCACATCCTTTTTATAGTGTGTGTGTGTGTGGGGGGGGGACACGACACACACACTAAATACAGTACTCCAGATGTGGCATCACCACTGTTTAATAGGGGTAGGGAGAAAAGCTGCACATAAACAGTCTAGGGTTACAATATGTCCAAGTTTTCCTGGACACGTCTTCTTTTTTGGCCCACTGTCCTCCTGTCCAGGCAGGGTTTTAAAATGCGAGCAACTGTCCGGGTTTTCGCTTTTCCCCTGCTTTCCCAGGCACCAGGAGCTGCTTGGGGCTGGGAGCAGCAGGGAAGGCTGTTGGAGGTTACATGTTCTGTGCAGGGGCCCAGCAAGCTGCTCCCAGGTGGGTGGGTAGCAGGCAGGCCTGTGCTGTGGGGCAGGAGTAAGAGGCACGGGCAGGGCAGAGGCATATCACTACCCCCCCCACCCCAATCATATACCACTCTACCCCTTCCTCCCCACCTCCCAACAGGTGTCCTCTTTTTTGATACTGGAAATATGGTAACCATGGTTTAAGTGATCAGAAACTAGTTTAACCTGTAACAGAATATAAATTCAGTGCACATAAGCCAGTTTCAAAATGGCTAAAACTGGTTTAAGATAAACCTGGTTGAATGTAGTATCAGACTTAACTGATTTGGGTCAAACCAGTTTATGTAACTTCTGTCCCAGACCCCTTCCTGGTTTAAGTTAAATCAGAGTCCCCCAGCATGGCCTCCAGCCCTGCACTAGGCTGTCTGCTCCAGAAGGCAGGGCTGGCCCTGCCCCTCTCCTCGCTAACCACAGCACACTGCTCCCAGCTGGCTGAGGAGATGGAGACTGCAGGCAAAACAGCATTTGCCACCCATTCCATGTCGCTCAAGCAGGGATTCCCCCCCTCCCACAGCATGGACCCCAGCTTAGTCATGCCACTTCCATGCTAGCTATTT